CGGCCCAGGGGCAGGCGGCCGCGGAGCGTGCGGCTCGCCGGCCGCCCTGACTCGGAGTTGCTCCAGCAGCTTCCCGCTTTCATGGAGCTCTAAGGCTGGGTCGTTTGTATTCTAGTTGCTCTTTTAAACTGCGCGTTTTTTTCCTGTGCCCGAGGGCATCTGGGGCTAGAGCCAGGGCTCGCCGAGGCGGCAGGCCGGCCGAGGCGCGCGGGGCCCTGTTCCCGTCAGCACCATGCGCTCGCCAGGCGGAGGCCAGTGTCAACAGTGGCGCTCGCCAGCCCCGGCGCTGGACCGGCTCCAGCAGCTCCCCCGCCGCTTGGCAGGGCTCCGGGGCTGAGGCCTCTCTGATCCGGTGGCTCCTTCACACCCGGCTTCCTTCCGCGCCCCCAGCGCAGACGCCGGCCCTGCGGCGGGTGCCTGCGCTCTTGCCCACGGGGGGCTTCCCGGGGTCAGCGCCCCCTCTCTCCCCGCTCTCCCTGCGGCCCCCCCGGCGTGTGTGCGGGCGCTGCTCCCCGGGCCTCGGCCCCCCCTTGGGGAGCAGGGGCTCCCCGGCTCGGTGCGGACCCGGCGCGAGAGGTGGGAGCGGGCCCTTCCGGCGGCGCCATCTTGCCCCGGAAGTCGCTTGGCGGCGGCTATACTTTGGAGTTGGTTGAAGTGTGTTTGGCTATGGTTTTGAATTCGAAAAAAATCTGATTTCTTGGGTCAGACAGAGAAGTACATGTGAAATACCTGTGATACATGTGATTTCCCTTGAACATGGAATCTTAAACAGGGGCCCCAGGGAGGCTCAGTTGGTGAAACGACCGACTCTGCCTTACAGCTCAGGTCATGATCTCAGGGCCCTGAGATGGAGCCCTGCCTGGGGCTCAGCGGGGACTCTCTCCCTCTGCCCCTCCACGCCACTCTCTCCCTCTAATAATAATAATAATAATAAAAACAAAACAAACAGCCTCATAAATACAGAGACTAGTGGTTGCCGGAGGGCGGTTGGGGGATGGGCAAAATAAGTGCAGGGGACTACAACGTGCAAACTTGCAGTTACAAGGTAAGTAAGTTACAGGAATGAAAAGTACAGCATAGGCAATATAGTTAATAATATAACAATGTTTGGCATGGTGACAGTGACTACACCTATGGCCATGAGCACTGCATAATGTACAGAACTGTCCAAACACTAGGAAACCGTATTTCATCTATACTTCAATGATAAAAAAATTTTCAAAAATCTGATTTCTAATATCTCTGTTATTTGAGGCTTTTCTTTTCACTTACAGGCTTTGGTCAAGCACAGAAGATCTACAAGCCAAGCATTTGTCCACTTCGCTGTAAAGCAGTACCTACCCTAAGAAGAGCAGATTTTCTTTCATTTCGATTTCCAGTTCCTTGAAAAATTAAGACTATGCAATATCGATGTAGTTCTACAACAATTGAGTGAAAGTAAATGCACAGGTATGTTCAACTTCAGAAAAATAAATCTTCAGTAAAGGCTATTTCATAATTACTGCCCTTACTCTCCTACATATGCGTGCACACTTTAACCCTGCAGGTACTATATTTTACTTCTCCATTGCTAGTTATTTCATATAGACTACACATTTCAGAAACTTTCATGTGCCATACCAGATGCTCACTTTTTCCTCTTGCTCTATGCATTTTCTTGTGAGGAGCATCTAACTGTGATGTTTACATAATGAATTAAAACCCAGCCCTGGCAAAGCCAAGGATTTGTGTTGATAACTCTGTTTCTCTGAAGGGCATGGAGTTGGACTCCTGCTTTCTATTCCTGGAAGGAAACATTTAAACACGAACAGCAGCGACTTTAAACCCACTTTGGTTTTGTAAGGGCTTGAGTCTAACCTCCCTTGAAACGCCTACACGTTTTCATGGAAGTCAGCCTAAGTGTTGAAAAGGAGAGCAGGACTGGCTTACCGCTGATCCGTTCTCATTCATATGAGTGATAGGAGAATGTGGAAGAGAGAAGCCATTTACTCTCAAGTGTGCATTATTTGGTACTTACCGTGCAGCAGTCCACAGTTCTTGGGCCAAAATACTTAAGTTTCAAGAGAGATAAAATATTGACTTGTGAAGAGCTAAGGCGTATATGCACTAAAACACAAACTTACATTCTATATCTAGAAAAAGAAGGCCATAATAAATGGTTTTACAGATTCTGCATTATTTAGATGTTCTATCGCTATTAAATAGAATATGTGGAAAACTCAACCGTATATTGACAATAACAAAAACTTTGTGTTTGGCACATCCTGGTAATGGTTTATACCATGCCTGATTTTATCAAAGTCCAATTACTTCATTCTTTCAGTCTTCAAAATCTCTGCTTGCTGAAAAATGATCAAATGGCTACATCATTAATCCAACTAAGTGATTTAATTATCAAATTGTTTCTATAATATCAAAATCTGCTTATTTTGATCACTTTAGTTTTATGATCCATCCACAGAGTCATTTCTGAAATGAATAATAAACATATATGGCTGCATTGTCTCTGATTTCTGGTAAACCTTTGCATGTTTGGGAACAACAATGACAGATTACACTTTACCTTTGAATTTGAACCCCAGTGCACAAATATTATGATTGTTTCATATGTCAGGGAATCAAGAGTCAATTGCCTTCACAATAATATTTATATCATATGTACAGAAAAAAATATTTTCCAAACAATTCAGGAAATACTTTCTCATGTCATCATCATCATCATCATTTAGAGAGAAGAAGAAAATACGAGAATAAAAATGAGGGAGGTTTCCTGATAAATAAATGATGGCCAACAAATTATCTGCTAAGTACTTAATCCAGTAATGTGCAGGTGCTGATGTCCCCAAGTTTGGCCCCCTGGTGTGAGGTGTGAGCTGTCCAGTTGTGGAGAAAGTCCTCAAAACCATGATAACTGAAGTCCAGAATATGGTCACAGATTCTACAGAGAAAGGCATGGAGACAAGAAATGAACAATGGGCTTGAAAGAGGAGTGGATTTAATGTGTGCACTTAGCATCAGAGGCAAATATTTCTAGCATAATGACAAAGAGTAGGTGCCTCAGTTCCCTAGAGTCAAGGGTTTTATCTACAATCGGACTGGCCAACAAACAATAACAACACATACTACTTCAGAAGGAAAAATGAAGCCTCACAGAAGGACCAGAGAAGAAAGCAGATAGTTTTTCAGGGAAGTAAAAGAATGATTTATTATAACACCATCTGGTGTCAATAGGAATGAACTGAAGTGAACACGTAGGTAACACTTTTTATTTTTAAGAAAAAAAGTGTTATTTCCCAAGTGTTATTCTGGTTATTTCTTCTGCCTTCTGAGAGTTCACAAGATGAATGGTTGCTGACATTTTTATGACATCTGTCCTGTTTTTAAGAACTAGAAGCTTCTATTACTCTGGGTTGCTGATTTGATTGCATCCCTTTTCCCCCCATGGCGGGGGGAAGCATCTTATCGATGACATGGTGCTGTGTTACATAGAGCAAAACTCCCGGAGAGAGTGGTCTTTGCTCCATTCCCTACCCTCCTATTCAATCCGGAACCCATGTGAACCAGGCTTTCTTCCCTGTCCTTCTAGAGAAACTGTTATTTCCACGCTAACAGGTAACCGGCACATTGCTAAATACAACAGTCAATCCCCAGTCTTCAGTGTATTTGATCAGCACACTGTTGATCAATCTTTTATTCTTGAAGCATTTATTTCACTTGGCATCCAGGACACCAATCTCTGTTCTCCTCCTACATTATTGACAATTTCACTGCAGACTCTTTTCCTGATTTATCCAGACCTCTAAAATCTGGAGTGCTCCAAGCATCACACTTCTATGCTGTCTTATGATCACCTCGGTGATACTCAGGCTTATCTTCAACTGGCTTCTTCATGCAGATACTGCCCGAATTTATATCTTTTATCCCTGAGGTAGATTGAATTATTATTCCTGTCTTCTCTAGATGAGAATTATGTATCTCCACTCCAAAATGTCAGGCTTGACCATGTGATTTGCTCTGGCCAATGGAATGAGAATGGAAATTATGTTGGTCACCTCTAAGGAGAAGCTTCATGAGCCAGCGTGTGATTCATCATGTCTTTCCTTCTGCCATGAGACTGGCAAAGCATTAACCCATCTGCTCTGTCAGCCTGGGTCTCAGGATCAAGGCAACTTGGAGCAGAGCCTCAGCAGCCCCAAGATGGCCATGGAGTATGAGTGAGAAATAAAAAATGTGTTTACTGAGATTTGGGGTCACTTGTTAACGGCTGCATAAGGAAGTATTTTGTCTGGTACAAACTCCTTTCCCCTAGAACTCCCATACTTGCTCTCTACTAAACTCCTCTGTGTTGATACTTTATGTCTCCAATAAACCCCTCATTATTTCCCTGCAAAGCTTTCCCTCCTGCAGTTTTCTCAATCTCACTAAGTGGTGATTCTATTCCTCCTGTTGATGAGACCCTGACTTCTCTTATTTCAGTCCTGGATCAATCCACTGGCAGGTCCTGGGAACTTCAAAATATCCTATTGTTCTATCTGGATATATGGCTGTTTTTGTTTGGGTGTGTGTTTGTTACCATTTCGCCTTTAATACAACTAAGTCGTACGTACCTTCATTTGAACAAACTGCAATAATCTCCTAACTAGTCTCTGTCTCTGCTTGGATCTTTTATATTCTGTTACTTATACCACAGCCCGAGTGATCGTATGGCTGTGTTACTCAACAGTCTCCGCTGATTTTCCATTCATTCAGATAAAATATTTTTACCATTGCTCATTGGACCCTTACCATCCTTTACCCTGATGTCAACTCCTCCCACTCTCTTCCCCCTCACTCTACTGCAGCCACATGGGCCCACTTATGGCTCTTCAAACAGGCCAAGCACAGCCCTTCCTCAGGGCTTTACATGCTGTTCCAGCATGCTCTGACATGCTGTTCCTCTGACAGCCCCAGAGCTCGGTTTCAGCCTTTTTTGAATATCATTGAATCCACGGTCCATCATTTGTGACTGTATATAAAGCCCTAAGTTGCTCCTCCAATCACCTTTACCTGACTTAAATTTTCTCCAAAGTGCTGAACATCATATGCACCTGTTAGTCTGTCTGTCTTCTCTCACTCAAATGTAAGCGCCACGACAGTCAGGGTCTTATCTGTTCTGTTCACAGCTGTATCTCATGTTCCCAGATCAGAGCCTGGCATATAGTATATGCTCAGCAGTAGGTGTCAATCAGCCATGTGGAAGGAATACAAAGAGAGCTCGAAGGTCCTGGCTTTCTCACTTACCGCTTTTGTGACCTTGGACATGTTAAAGACCTTTATGCCTCATTTGGCTTTGTTTGTTGTTTTGTTTTTAACGGAGACTAATTGGACCTATCTCATATGGTTTGTGTGAGAATTTTAAAAGAGAAAATGTACATATAGCACTTAGAACAATGTCTGGCACATATTAAGTGATCAGTAAATGTTCATTAAAAAAAACACTAAAAAGGAGATAAATGATTTAGCAGACAAACCAGGAGAATATTTTGTACAAGAAACATATAGTTTCAAATCTCAACTGAGCTATTGCAAGCTGGGTCAACTGGCATAAACTTATCCTCTCTGCCTCAATATTCTTATCTGGAAGTTGATGATAATAATAGAACTTGTAGAATTGGATATAATGCACATATAACGTCCAACCTGTGTCTTATAGTAAGCATACGAATAGTTACCATTATAATGGCAACAACTTAATTAGTGATTAATTTGTACCAGGAATTTATGACTGTGTCAATTCTCTAAGGTAAGTATTGTACTGGTCTCACTTTTCCAGAATCATGGAGAGGTTTAGAAACATTATCGGATCATATGGATAATAAGTTGAGCTGAAATTTGAACCCAATTTGTGATCTTGTACACTAGCCTACCCTCCCTATTTATTTACTGACCAACCAGTTAATAAATATGGCTGTTCATCCTCAAAGAATGTAAACCGTGTCAGGCAGGGAGGTGGTACGTATCTACGCATAGTTGCATGAACAGTGATACAGGATTTGAATAACAATCAGGGATAGTATTGAAAGTTCTCCTGTGGCACGTTTGGAACTATTGCACCCCGAATAGTATTAATAGTGGGAATTCAGACCAAATACAATGAGAGAAGTTTGTAAGAAGAAAAATAATTTAGCTTATGTGTTGACATAAGACTGAGGACTTACCTGTGAATTGACTAATCACATCTGGTGTTTTTCTGAATCTTCCATTTCCTCTCTCTGTGGAGGGGTTGTCCTCTATGGCTTGTTTAGCTACTTGAGAAGCATCACTGTGTTTTTAGAGAGAGAGTCGGTCCTGTGGCATACATTCCAGAAAGAGGCCGGTGAAGACTTTCTGAGCAGATGTGATAAATCTGAGAAGAAGAGCAGTTTGTTTTATTTCTTGAGCTTATAAAGTATCAAATAAGACATCTCAAAGGTTCATCTCTCATTAACAGGGAAAAACAGGTAAAAACAATGAGGGGTTATTGCACTTAATCCTGGGAGAGTCACTGAAGGTGAATCATACTCGCCAAACAGATATGCTTTCCCCCCGCTTAGAGTCTTCACTCTACTTAATACATCTGACGGTTTTAAGGAAATGACAAGAAGAGCAAACACTTTCAGTTTTTACCCCTGGAAGTTTGGCAGCCATTTTAGTTCATCTATTAAAACCCATGTTAATTGGGGGGGGCGGGAGAGGGTGCATCTGGTGGCTCACTCAGTTAAATGTCCAATTCTTGGTTTTTGCTCAGGTCCTGATCTCAGAGTTGTGGGATTAAGCCCCTTGGCCGGCTCCATGCTCAGTGGGGAGTCTTGGGATTCTCTCTCTCTCCCTCTGCCCCCCCCGTGCTATAAATCAATCAATAAAATATTTTTAAAAACTATGTTAACTTTAAACACTGACTTCCTGTTGGAAAAGGAAAAAAATACAGCATATATTTCAACATTTTGGAAAATTTACAGGGAAACATTTCAACAACTTTAAAAGGGATTTTAAGATCAATTTTAGTATATGTGCTGCCGAAGCGAGCACGGGATTTTAAGACCAATAAAATCTGTATCTGTATCCAAATCTTATTGATCAGTGAATCTATTGCTACATTTCTATTAGATAAGAGGATTCTTCTGATGTATCACTATGCTTTTTTTTTCCCTACGTTGAAACAAATTAACAACATATCTTTTAAAAAATATAAGGTATGATCCAAATCTGGTGTGTGTAGTTTTCCTAGAGCTCAGGATCCTTTTTACTGGGTAGGACGAAATGTAAAATAAGGCTCAGTGAAGGGCAGCAGGAAACCAGCAATGAACATTCCGCTAATGGTTAGCGTTGTTGCTCTCTTGCCTGATAAAACCTGCAAACTGTTTGGCAGGGAGATTTTCTGCACTCTCTGGGTCCGGGGTCTGTCTGAGCATTAGAAAAGAGATGGTAAAGGAAAGCAAGAGCCCAACTAGGACCACAGAAAGGAGCCGGGAGATTCTCCTCTGCAGGTGAAATGAGTTCTGTACAATTTGCTACTTGAGAATTAAGAAAATGATGCTCCATGTGGATACTTCTGTCTTCTTTTCCCTGGAGGGTTACCGACATGTCTCCCTAACTACACAGAAATACCATGGCATCAGAATTATTGCAAAACACACCATTGTCAGATTTCTTTCAGCAGTCCGGACCTGCCTCGTATCGTCCCTGTCTGTTTTGAATCATTGTTCCAAAAGAGCAACCCTATCACTGCCTGCCAGGAGCCAAGCGGGTCTGTCTGTCACTGCTGTTTCCTAGCCTGGCTAAGACGCTAGGCTAAGTGCTTTCAATCTGTCTAAATGTATGTTTTCAGTTTTAGCTGCAACCCTTACACTTCTGTCCCCAAATTTCTCCATTATGTGTTAAAATACTAAGTGCCCCAGTCTACACCAGGTCACACATTCTTTTTAAAGATTCTTCTTGGGAACTTTGTACTTGTTAGTCTTATGTAACATGCTGAGAATTTTTTCAGAGAGATAAATTGAATAAAATCCTGGTTTAGTATAGTTTAAGGCAGGTCCAAAGATGGGAGTGAATCACACTGTGTTACACACACACACACCTTTTCTCTTATTCTCTCTCTGTTCCGTGATGTTATGCAGAAGGTGGCTGCTTGGTTATTTTTCTGGAGACAAAGCTCTGTCCAAGTCACTCTCCTACTCAGGCACATCGCTGGCCCCACATCGCTTACTAAAGAAAAGGAGAAATATTACATCCTATGAGCTGAAGACATGCTAGGGGTTTTAGATAATTGATTTACTCCCCATACACCTGATGCTCCATTTTACTGATGGGGTGGATGCTGTACCTATGTCCACACAGCCTTAAGGAGATGGGTCAAAAGCTTAGCTTCCCATGCCCCTTTGCAGCATCAGTGTTATGTCCCTTGGCACCTTCATAGATTCTCCATTCTTCTGGAGCAAAACACCACTGTGCCTGTATTTTTCATGCCACTGAGCTTTTGCTTATGTGGATCCTCCTGGCAACCCCTCACAAGCAATGCCCTTCTCCTTCCATTTCACATTCAGATCCTACAGTACCTGCATCCCCTTTGCCCATGAAACTCTCTTGCAAGTGGCGGAGGGTGGGGGGGAGAGGGGCAGAGGGAGAGAGAGAGAGAGAGAATCTCAAGTAGACTCCATGCTCACCTTGGAGCCTGATGTGGGGCTCGATCTCACAACCCTGAGATCATGACCTGAGCCGAAAACAAGGGTCCGATGCTGAACTAACTGAGCCACTCAGGCGCCCCTCTGCCCCCCCACCTCCCCGTGAAACTTTCTCTTATCCCTCTGCCACTCTCTATGCCTTCCCTTAAGCAAGTTGTGATATTTTTTACTCCTCTGAATGGCCAAAATAGTGCATGTGGGATTCCTAAACACACTTTGTACCTGCGCCATCTCTTATCACGTGCACATTTTACTTCTTTCTACAGGACCCTAAGATTCTGTGAAAGTAAGAACCTCGGCACTAAAAAAAAAGATCAAAGAAAGAGATGAACAACAAAAGAAGAAGAAAGAAAAATAAAAGAGGGATGAAGGTAAAATAGTGTATCTTGAGCGTACAGTGACATTACAGAAAGTATAGTCTCATTAATCTGTCTGCTTTTTAGTGCTATTTTAAGAGTAATTGTAGTTTCGGGCGCCTAGGTGGGGCTCAGTCGTTAAGCGGCTGCCTCCGGCTCAGGGTCCTGGGATCGAGCCCCATGTCGGGCTCCTTCCTCAGCGGGGAGCCTGCTTCTCCCTCTCCCTCTGCCTGCTGCTCCCCCTGTCTGTGCTCTCCCTCTCTCTATCTTTATCAAATAAATAAATAAAATCTTTAAAAAAAAGAATAATTGCAATTTCTTCAACACCAAATACTCATAGAAAAAATGAAAATAGTTGTTATATAAATACAATTCACTGGGCTAAGTAAATGTATATACATCCCCTCTTACAGACGTATGAGGTCAAAATTACTATCAAGTTTTAATAGATAAGGAAGCTGAGGCCAAGAGAAGTTACTCACTCGCCCAGTGTCACAGAGCTTCTAGAAGACAAAGCCAGCATCACAAACCTGCTCCATCTGATTTGAAGGCCACACCACAGACCATGGCTTCAAAGGCAGTGCAGGCCTGGGTGGGGCCTGCAGGTGCCCAGGACAGAGTCCCCTCAGTGTTGTAATCTCCGTGCAGCTCACCCCACAAGCACGGTGTCTCAGGTTTTGCTCTGAACACCCGTGGAAGCCTCATCCCATCAAATTCACACCAAGGTATTGAGGAATAAACACTTTCCCTCCCAATAACCTTTGAATTTTGAAAGGGAATATAAGGCTAGATCCATGATTGAACAACAGAATGAGTATTAGCAATGGGGTCCAAGGGATTTTACATAATTTTAATCTAGGATGAGCATTTATTGTACAGCAAGAGTAGATGAGACCCTGTCTCAGATAAGTCAAAACAATGGCCATGCTACTTAAAACATAGCTGCTCAACTATACACAAGTGCTTTGTCTTTGATTTTAGATACTTCGAAGCAAGAATATTTGGAAAATTGATAAATCGTTCAAAGGTTTCATATGCTTCATCAGACAGTTTAAATAGAACCTATATACTCAGTACGGTGAACTTGAATGTGATTGTTGTTTCAGAGCAAAAGATGTTCTCTCAGTTAGCTGGTGGAGTAGATAATGCAATCTTCAATTTGTTTCGATTTTAAAGGGACCAAGCAAATGTCTGATAAGGAATTAACTTCTTTTTGCCCAATTGCTCATACACACAGGTTTTGGAAGCACAGTTCATGTTATGAAAGACAATAGTTCTTCTTGTTGCCACCACTGTGGGAATTAAATAGATACTTCTTTTTTTTTTTTCTGTGTAAAAATAGTTCACTTTGTAATTAGTGTGAAGACTTGGGTAAGATAAATGTCAGAGAAAATGTCAGTTCAGAAAAATAACGAGATATTTTATAAAATATCTAATCTAATATGTGAAAGAGCAGTTGATCATGAAGTCATCACTTTGGGTATTAATTGTGCTCTGTGCAATTTTCTACTTCTCCCCATCCACCCTAGCATGTTCAATCAACTTGTTACATATGTATATTTGTTTTTCTTTCCCATCTCACTCTGACGTTTGTAGCTGTTACATTTTAAATTACTGCTGGAACATGTGGGGCAAAACTAAACAAAATACGGGGTTAATTCCTTGAGTTTCAACACAAAACATGTTTCTTAACATATATTTGTGTATCAACCAATATTTGAACATTTACTATTTGAAAATCATGGTTATATATGGTGAAGACCAAAAAAGATATCTTATTTCAACAAATTTATGATGCTATCTGTTTTAAGATGCAACATTATTTTATATATGATTTAAAGGAAAAAATATTAGGTGCCATTAATTGTAAGAAACATTATGATTTCAATGATGTGAAAATGTGAAACAGTGTATTTCAGTGAAATATGGTATGTCCTGCTTCCCTAGGGAAATAAATTCAGTGTATAGTTAAGAGAACAGTTAATCTTTAAGAAAGGCATCTTTACACATTTTTACCACAGAGAAGGACAAGATGATAATTGATGTGAAATTGTATAGGGTTACAGAGCTATTTAAAGAGTCCAAATGTGGCTACTTCTTGGAACAATTAAATGCTGTTGGAAAAGAGGCAGTCATAATCTGAGGTATAGTTTAGAGAATTTGTTTGGGGTCAAAATGAAGAATAAATTTGGGATGGGGAACTTTGTGGAGTCAGGAAGCTAATGAAAACTCACAAAATTGAAGTAATGGGGGGTCTGATCATAAGTAAAGGCAAAAAGATTAAGCAGACTTTGCCATGAATAAATTGATAGATGTAGATGCTAGTGAATAAAGAGGGGATGAAATTAGTTCATTAGTACCTGACTCTCAAATTTGGAATTTGTGTAGGTGGGCTGGTATATGTCTTGTGAATAAATGGAGGGGATAAGACTGAGACCATGACTGTGTATGTTTAGGTTGTACTTAAGATGTGGGCAGGGCTTCTCCAAGATCGTGTTGGAAATGTGGACTTACAGCACAAAGAAAGTCAGGCTTATGTTATAACTTAGGAATCATGAAAACAGAAGCATGATACCTTTACTGACTCCTCCTTCCTGTAAGTAGTAGGAAAAATGCATAGTTGACCCCATATTTTGGCCACGTATGTGCCAGCCACTCAAGATCAGCCACTGTATGTGACCCCAGATATGATTTGATATAGCATATCTCCAGATCTATGTGTATATATTCAATTAGCTGACTTTGAGAAGATGAACTAATAAACCATAACAGGTGTGTCTTTAGGTTGTTTGTAATTTAATGTAAAGAGCAAATACACCATATATAATATAATACAAGAAAAATGCAAGCAGTGGGATACCAAATTTTTAAGCAAAAACATTCTTACTGTTTCAGAAGACTGAGAAATGCCTGTGGCCATATTGATCACTTATTCCACCCAAGGAAGTTTTTAAGAGTAGGAGAATTTGAGCAGTGCCTGGGTAGCTCAGCCGGGTAAGCAGCCAACTCTTGATTTGGGCTCAGATCATGATCTCGGGGTCCTGGGAGAGAGCTCCACATTGGGCTCCCCGCTCACTGGGGAGTCTGCTTGAGGATTCTCTCTCTCCCTCTTCCTCTCTCTTGCTCTCTCTGTCTCTACAATAAATCAATAAATCTTTAAAAGAAGAGGAGAATTTGAGTTCTTCAGTAAACCACAATTAAAATTATTCAAAAGTAATATTGTTGATGCTTGATTTCATAGCTTTGAAAAGCTTTGAAAAGTCTAAAAAAGAATGAAAGAAGAATGAAAACAGTTCAATATCTCACAATAGTGAAATAACTGTGGTAAGCATGATTCCCTTCCTTTCTTTCATACTGCTTTTTAAAGATGGATTTTACTACGTTTATGTTACCTAACTTAATTTTACTATTTAATATGAAGTTCTAAGCATTTCCCCAAGTCAGAGACAGCAATATTTTCTGTTCACACAATACTCTATCATACAAACACTTTATGTTTTACCTAATCCCCTTATTGTTACATACTTTGATGTTTCTAAATTTATTTGTTACAGGTAATGCCCCAATGGCTTTCAAATCAGTTTCTTAGGATACATTGCTATCAGTCATTTTACCATGTAAAAGACAAACAATTTGAGAGCTTCTGATAAACATCACAAAATAGTTTTCTAAATAGATTATGAAAAATATATAATAGTATTTGAGTATGAGAGTGCCTGCTTCAGTGTACTCTTATTTTGTTTGATATTTTTACTTCCATTATGAATATTTCATGATTGGAATGAGAAAAAAAACTACCTTGTATTTTAAAACTATGAATGTCATTAACTTGAAAGATTAAACATGTTTCTAATAATCTGTTATCTATACACGTTTCCTCTTTTAGATCTTCTGTTTAATACAATTATATTGAGGTTTATGTCTATACACTGGAGTCTAATTTCTTATTGTATGATTTCATTATAGATAAAAATAGTGATCCTTTGTCATATTTCCTTGAAATATGTTTCCGATTATATTTTTTATGGTTATCAGATTATTTAAACTTGAGTAAGTCAACTCTACCAACCTTTCAGTTTTGGGTTTCTTCTACTGCTCTGGAGTTGTCAAATCCTTTCAATATCACAACAATCCAATACAAAGTACACAGTTTATTTTACTTTTGAAA